GAGTTCCAATAAAACTGCTACTCTTGAAATTTTATTTGAACTAAATATTGGTGGAACCATTAATGATATGTTTAATAAAACATTTGGTCCTTTATCCAGTAAATTTTTTTGATGTATTTTAGGACTTTTTTGACATATTGAGAAATGGGGATATCTTGTAACCATTTTTGAAATATTTCTTTATCCCTTTTGAATTTACAGAACATTATGGATATGAAGATCCAGCTTGTACAGAACCTTTTAACTCATTGTCGTCTTAAAATCTAACCATGAGAGAGAGAGAGAGAGAGAGAGAGAGAAATTGTGGTGTTGTGTAATTCTCAACCTCTTGTTATTCCATGTGGCACTAAGTTATCTTCTGCCTGTGATGCTTTGGTATGCTTGTTTTTATATATGTTTGATGTTATTTTCCCATTAGAGGGAGAGTGAAAATTATTTAAGTAAAAGGACAAAGATTAACAATCAACATTCACAAAATTACAGATGAAATGCGCTAGTTTTTGTTGATAATTTCTCCCATAATATATTTACCTCTGTGGATAATTCCATACCTTTAGACCCCAATATCTTTATAAATATGAATTGAAATGTTTGGTCGGAACCGATGCACTAGAACTTTGATCTATCAACTCAGACATGGATGTGTGTGGTTGTTCTTATTTGTGGTGGCAATTTTTACATTAGGTTGGTTTTATTGTTAGGTAATTGGAACCAGCTCCCTGTTCAGCTCTGAGATGGCACACTAATTATATCATTTCTACTCGTTGCAGAAAATGTATTTAATCTTTGCAGTTTTCCAAGTTTAGCAGGGCTTAAGTATAGGAGATTACGGCATGGGTTTCAAGAGGTATTACCTGCCTAATGTAATTCTGCTAGTGTAAAATTTATTGCAGTTGGCTGATTTTTATTCTTCCTCTGACTGGATATCCCTTCAGGCAGTTGTTTGTGGGCTTTATAGGAACGGGAAGATAGACTTCCACCCTTATGATGATGAAATCTTGCAGGAAACTGACAAAGTATGAGAAGTTCTTGACTTAATTTACACCAATAGCTCTGAAATTTCTTATGACGTATGGAAATTTGAATCATGAACACAATGTCAGTTAAAGTTTCTTTTTGTTAATATCTCTAGAAACTGATGGTTAACTAGATTTTTTACTTCCACCAGTTCCTATTTTATTTATCATGATTGGACAGTTAGACAAAACTATTATTAATTTAATAGTTACAAAAATAGAAGAAAGAACTAAGAGAATCATGGAAGCCTGGCCGGATTCACTGTGTGACTGGTTCATTTGTTTTGGTATTTGCATTATGCTGTTTGCTGGCTACTGGGTTGTGGTTAACCATCATTTTCAGCTATCTGTTTATGAAATGTTCTGCATTGATGAAACTGTTAAATTCCTCCCATAGTTTTATTTGTGAATTCTCAACATTGTGCACTTTCCTCATGTAGGTATTGTTCGTTGCACCTGTTAATGGGACTAAGAAACCACATGTTGCTTATTCAAATGTTGTGAGAGAAATAGGCAATGCTAATGAAAATTTGGAAGATCAAGAAAAGAATGGTAGTACCCAATCGCATGCTTTACAATTGAAAACACGACTGGAAAACATTGTAAGGCGTCCCAATAAACCAGGTTCCAAGGTGCGACTTTACTACAACATAATTGCTTGAAGGCCACCAGGGCTTGAAAGATTGGGTTTCAAAATCTGAATTCTCTTATAATGCAGGGCTCAGACTGGACCCTAGGACCAAAAGAATTTATACTTCTGCTTGGATGGCGCCCCGACATCATAGAAATGATTGAAGAATATGACAATTATCTTGGACCTGGCAGTGTCGTGGTATGCTCTTATCTCTTGGGAATCTTCTTGTGAGTCCTATATGCATTGAGTAAGCATTCAGCAACTCTTGCCTTGAACTGTAAAAACTTAGCACAGCTACTTGCTACTTACGCAAGTACATGTATGATGAAGGCTTTCAAATTGTAAATGAATCAATGGGGAAGGGATTGAGGAACTTAATGGATTCTGGGAAATTTTCTCCACCTTGAGGAAAGCACGACAGAGACTAAGATGCATGTAGCCTAAGATACATGGTAGAGACTAAGAGGCATGTAGCCTAATTGGAGTACTTTTGAGATGTGTCCCTATATTATTTGCTATTACATTTTTCAGCATGTAGCCTAAGATGCATTTCCTCATTAACTGGTTTACAATCGGGGTGGTTGTTCTATAAATAATTGTATATGGATGTTAAATCTGATGCCGTCATGAGCTGTCATTGTTATAAATTCTGACACTTGATGAAAGATAATTTTCATTGGTCACTTATCTAAGTTTCTAGACATAACATCACTCTTAATTTATCATCTTCATGCATGCAGGAAATTTTATCGGATGTACCATTAGATGACAGAAATAGGGCAAGACAAGTTGCTGGTCAAGGCAAACTCAAAAACGTCAAGGTTTCTCATAGGGTACTACCACTCTTTCAACCTACAGAGTTGAACCTTCTCTGCCGTTATCTTTGTTGCTTTATAATTTAGTTTTTGTTGAAGTCTCCTTTTCTCCTTCTAAAACTTCATTTATTTATTTCCATATGCTGCAGATTGGGAATCCAATGAACTTTGACACCTTACAAGAAACCATAATGAATATCCAGAAGTCATTGAAGAACAAAGATATTCCCTTGTCCATCGTTGTAATATCTGATAGAGATTGGCTTCTTGGAGGTGAACATACATGAATTCCCCCTTTTTTCTTGGTTTTGTGTTGTTTCAATTATCCTAAGGTCGCGTTGCATTAAAGTATTCTCCCCTCAGATCCAACCAGGGCAGACAAGCAATCTGCATATTCTCTTCTTCTTGCTGAAAATATTTGCAACAAACTTAATGTAAAGGTAGGTCTAGTTCAGTTAAACATCAATACCAGTCTTCATTTTCAATTTGTGAAATTCAGACTCTGAGTTTAGTTAATTAAATAGGTTTCACAATAACTAAGACATAATCTTCACTAGAGAAAGTAAAGTAACAAGGTTGTGGCGTTGCAGGTACAGAATTTAGTTGCTGAGATCGTGGACTCAAAATTGGGCAAACAAGTATACTTCAGCAGACTTTTGTCGATGTTTATGATTTCTACTGATATTTGTTCACATTAGTGTTAATATTGAAATATTTACACCGAAAATTTCTGCAGATCACAAGAATTAAGCCGTCCCTGACTTACATTGCTGCAGAGGAAGTAATGAGCCTCGTAACAGCTCAAGGTCTTGAATCATTGTACTACACTTAGCTCTCGTAACATATATACCAGTCGTATTCCAAAATAACAAGTGATCGTCTGTTTGTGCATAACAGTTGCTGAGAACAGTGAACTAAATGAGGTGTGGAAAGACATCTTAAATGCAGAGGGTGATGAAATATATGTAAAGGTAAGTGCTTTTAATACTCAATTTTAATAGATTTTTCCAAGAAAAAGAAAAGAAAAGGATGAAGTATTAGGAGGGCTTGGTCACATTCAGAATGAGAGACATACTGATTTGGTTACATCCCGATTGGATGTCGTATTTTTTTTTTTCCCTTTCCTGCCAGAAGATCCTGATTGAATATCCATCACAGCCTTGTATTTTATACTTTGCATGTGTTTGTTCTGACAGGATATAAGCCTCTATATTAAAGAGGGAGAGAATCCTTCATTCTTTGAGCTTACCGAAAGAGCGCAATTACGGAAAGAAGTTGCAATAGGTTATGTGAAAGACAACAAGAAGGTAAAAACATCTTGATTTGGATTTGACTCAGAAATTGCTTTAGACTTCTCATACACGTCTTATGTGATGTTGCAGGTTATTAATCCAGATCCCAAGTCAGAACCCCTCTCCCTTGAGTTGACAGATTCATTAATAGTTATATCTGAACTTGAAGGAGAACAACCCATCCTTGTGTAGAAAGTACATTTGGTCTTCACTTTGTTGCCTGTCCCCATTGTTTTCATTGCTGCTATGTTTATATGATTTCAAGCTGAAACTGTCACCCGAACTTTCCTTTAAAAATCTAAATCCCTTCTTAAATAGAAGCTCGCATTTGTTTTGACAGTGAAAGTGTTCTGTGAGCTTGTGCCATAGAAATGGCATTAAAACTGCAAGAGAATTGGAATAAAAGAAATCTGGAGGTTATGCCATAAACTACACCATTTTCAATAAACCCTGAGCTATTAAGGGAGTTGGAAGAATCAGCAGAGTAGCTCAATCCTCAATAGAAGAGTTAGATATTTCATGCCAATGTCTCAATTCTTTTCGTCTATACACCTAACAGGGAGCCAGTAATGAGGGGTTACAATGAGCATAACCTTTCATAAGGGAGCAATTGCTCTAAATCACTACACTAGCACCCACCATACTATTTTGATTATACCGTAACAACCTAAAAAGAATGACACAAATCGTGAGGTACCTACACATTTACACATCCCCTAACCCGTGAAATCCCCTATGTGATTGAAGATGGTGTTGGAGATGGAGATGGCGATGGCCTATGGCAACAGCGCATCTCTCTCATGAACTTGAGAGAGTGCTCTGCTTATATGTACATGGAAACCGAGAGTAGAAAACAAATTTCACCACCAAGTAACTTGAGACCACGGTCTGTAAGTCAATGCTCCTTTTTTATTGGGTTAGAACCCGAGTTATTAAGTTTGATACTAACTCAATCTTACAATAATTCATATTTAGTGGGTCTGTCACAAATTCGTAGTTTCTTTTCAAAAGAAAAAAGAAGTTTATCATTTAGGCAGTTCGCTAATCGTATTGTAATTTTCGGAAGTGTAGGGTCAAAATAAAAAATACCTTAAAGCTTTAGGGATGCCCGTAGAATTAATGTAGGTGATTTTTAAAATTTCTATTTTATTTCACATTTACAAAAATAAAAAACTCAAAACCCAGTTGCTCTTGAAGTTCGCTGTTTTTGCTTTGTCTTAGCGATTATTTTGGAGGCAACGCCATGGCTCACGGTGGCTACGCCAAGCGGAGGGTGAGTCCGGCGGGAGGACGACGGCCCAAATCGGCGTTGGGCCCAGAGAAGAAGCCCAAAACCGTCAACCTCAAAAAGCAGATTCGCTCCATCGAGCGCCTGCTCCGTAAGGTACTCTCTCTTTCTTCACAATCTACTCTTTCATCTCGTTCAGTTATGTGTTACTGCCCATTTCGATTCTGGTGCAGTTCTCGTTGATTCTTAGGGTTAGGGTTTGTATGGTTTTCGGGGCTTCAATGTTGTTGAGTTCTTTGCTACCCCTTTTGTGTATCAGTGATACACACAATGAGAGAGAAAGGTGCATAACTGTTTTTCAGAGGAAATTGAAGCCCACAGAAATGCCCCAAATTGAACTTTATCTCGCAAACACTCCACTCCCTTCCTCCTCCTATAATGGGTCTTCTGACCTAATACAGCTTGAATCAGTATGCAGTCGATTTATTAAGATTATAATAGGAAACTTTGTGGTTTTAGCTATTGGTGAAGTCATAATCATTGTGAAGTATGGCCTAACACGACGATTTTGTACCAAGAATCTATCAGCTGAAATGAAGGAGGCTCAGGAAAAGAAGTTAGAAGGACTCAAGAAACAGCAGGAGATTCAGTTTCGTCTCGCTGTGGAGCGCAAGATATTTATGCGTGACAGGAAGATTAAGTTTTTCGGTATGATTTACTGATTTATTTATTATGTATAGAGTTTATTTCTTGCATGATTTACAGCTTAATTGCTTGGTGGAGTGTATTTTACTCAAATCATATAAGTAACACAGACTTTTTTCAGAGAGAAGAAAAATAGAGAGAAGAATAAGACGTTTGGAGAAACTCCAACGTGCTTCTTCGTCTGGTCAGGCACAAGATGCAGAGAGTTCTGTGCAACTTTCCAAATTGAAAGAAGATCTTGAATATGTTAGGGTAAGCTATATAGTGGTATATAGTGGTACTTGGTATATCTGGTTTTATGTGAATGCATGCTTGTGGAATTTGTAATTGGGAATTTGGTATGTTTTTCTGTCATGAGAATATCATAAGCTTTCATTGGAATTGAAATGTGAACTTCCACTTGACCTTGTGCCTTGTGGTGAAGGGCTGGATGTATTTTACTTTACTTGGTACAGGCTTTGAATTGTTTCTTGAAATAACACATACTTGTTTCCAATGATGTCAAAAGGCTGATTTTTATTTTTATTTTACTATCAGTTCTTTCCCAAGACCGAGAAGTATGTCCCTTTGTTTACTGGTGGTGAAGTTTCAGATATAGTTGATAAGAGAAATAAGTTGCGTGAGAAGATTAAGGTGAATTTAATTGCTGCAGCAGCTAGTGGAAAGGATGTTGAAGGTATTTCTTTTATGTTTTATTTACTTCCACCAGAAATATCTCTTATAGAGATATTCTTCATAAGCAATAACCATCTGTTGTAATGCACAATACATCTTTTTTAGTTATCTAAAGTTGTTTGAGTCATTGTTTGAATAAAAAGGTGAAAGCCCAACTTGGTGCAGCCTTCATTCAAAATTCAATAAAGGTATATACCACTTAAAAAATAATGTAGGATAAATACCTAGCGAACTGTCTAGTCTTCAGATGATTAATAGTAGAGGTAAAAATGACTGCAAGAAAAATGGATGTTAAACCTATCAAACAAAACATTATACCAAATTATTCTTTCCACATTCCTGCCATGCTACCATTTTCTTTGTAAAATGTAGATGATGTTTATGTTTTCTCTGAGGGATGCTTTTCACCTCTCTTTTCTTCTTGCAGTTGTCAATTATGAACATAATCTCAGGGTTGCAAATCATCAAACAATTTTGTTACACTCACAAGCATGCTGTATTTTCTTGGATTTCTTACAGAAACAGGGAGCGAGGACGATGGGCTTCTGGATCTGAGTGAAGATGATTTCTTCCTAAATGGGAGTTCAAGTGATGAAGCAGATGCAGATGATGAATGGACGGATAAGAGTACAAGGTATTTATCTAACTGTGAGTGAGATGTTATATTTGAGAATATATATATTTCTTTTTTTTGAAGGATCATTCATGAATTAGATAACAGTGCACTTCAATAATTATCACTTTTATTAACATGAGTCCACTGTTTGTACTTTACCGGGGAAGCTAAAATTTTAAAAGAACCTATTTGAATTAGTATGTAGACTGTTCTTTCATTTTTATGTGTGTTAAAAATATGGTCTGTTATGATGGAAGTTGCATCATAATTTTGTCATCTGTTTTTTCAGAGAACAGGCTTCCAGTGCTTCTGGAAAAGCAACTTCTGGCATGTCCAGTGATGAGAGAAATCAGGTTTCCATCTTTTAGCTTTTGCACTGTTGTGATTACACATATTTGCTTATTGATTGTTTATATTTCTGTCTCCTCACCTGGATTTCTTAAATAGCGACAGGTTTCTGCTAGAGCTTTGATGCCTCCTCCCCGGCCATCTAGCAATTCTCGCACAAGTTCAGTTCGTGCTCAGTCAAGGTTTGGTCCTTCATCAAGCAAAAATTCCTCAAAAAAGATTGCTGAAATGTCTACATCCAGCAATACATCAAATAGCAGAAGTGGGACTTCCTTCAGTACATCAACTAGCAGAAGTGGAACTTCCTTCAAAGCTAGGGGATCATCAAATTCAACAGCTGCTCAAAGTAGTAATTTGAGCTCCAACTCTGATGCTCATAAGCCCCGTAGAAAGAGGAGGCCAAAGAAGAAAAAGCAGCAGGTTGGAGTTACTTGTTAATGTTAGATATGTTGAACAGTTTGCTTTTCTTTTGATGAGATCTATAGTTTATTCTGTTGAAAATTTGTTACAATGCTTTATAGTGTACCTACTGTTAATAATTCTCCTAATATAATAAGAAAAAGCATGGAAATTTAGCCACTTATCTAGATAGTCATGGTTTGACCTAAGGCTACCTGATTTTTGCTTCTGTTTTTATTTTTCAAAAGAATATACATCCTTGTCATACTTTCAGCTATAGAGCTGCTTGACAAGAGCTAGATTGAGTTATTTCTCTTTATCCCACTCACTGGGGTATGGTTATTGGGTTTAGCATGCATAGATGGCACTTATTACCCATGCTACATTTCTATCTATGATGATTATATGCTATCATTGTACAATTACCTGGGGATTTGGGTTTCATCTTGCACAGAGGGTCAAAATTGGCCGGTTGCATAGTAAGCTTCCAAGTTCCTTTTTTCATGATTTGTGAAATTGATATGCCATATTGGTATAAGTGTTGCTTCAATTCATTTGTTGGATGTATATCTCAGCCCGATTGATTTGAGCTAATTATTCAAGCTGGAGGTTAAGTGAAACTCAATGATGGACTGTTATTGTTTGTTTATTCTTGGTCCCTTTATTCTTCATCTACTTTTTTGTATACTTGATTCTTCATCTCCCTGTACTGTGCTAAGTGATTTCTTCTATTATAATATACTTTTCTCTTCCCCCCCTTTTTTTGGTGAGAACTCATTTCACTTCTACTGGTGTTTGTTGTACAATTGTAACATTTTTTAATAAACAACTACTTGTATGTTTGCAGGGATGAGTCGAAGATGCGTGGTGCTGATGCAAACTTGTTTTGACGATTTTATCACTTTGAGTTGTTTATGCGAAATTCTTACAGCTCAGTCTTGACGCTGAAGCACGTGATTTCTTTTTCCATGGGTAAAATAGTTGGAAGCTTGTGCTTACTGCTCTCTGTAACAATCGGTCTTACTCCATGCCTAGTCACTCCGAGCTAGGCTTGATTTATCCTGAAAATGTCTCTCTGCTGTAATTTTACAAACTTCAGCCTGATCTAGTGACAATCCCTGGATGGCATAGACTTGTACTGATTGAGATTTTGGATCGTGCCCTAGTTTGTTTACCTAGTTGTCTTTCCAAGGCTATTTGTTTGGATACAAAAATGAAAATATACTGAATATCTTTCATGGGACCGTTTTGCCAAGTTCTTGCCTATGCCTAGGCAATGCTTTGTCTTGCATTTCATTCATATCCATCTTGTTTTTATTCTGCACACAACGATCATAATCAATTGAGTTTGGTAGAGATATAACCCAACAACCAAACACCCTTTTTCTTGTTTATAAAATGGAATTTGACCCTTTTTCTGAAGGTTGAATTGTTTACTGTAATAAAATGATATTTTTACCCTTTTCTGAAGGGATGTTTGTATACATGTTTATTTAAATTTTTTAGTTAAAAAAGAACGGGACAAGATGAAATGTAAAAGGAGTTTTACAATCCTTCTGTCTTTTAGGATTTTGATTTATACTGCCTTTTACATTCATTTATAAGATATGGAACGTATTGTCATCTCCTTGTCTTGAAAAATACCTGTATTTAATTTTTATATAAAAATTGTCTAAGAAAAATACGGAAAAATACGGGTATCTTCACCTAATTTGTAATTGTACATGAAATTATATATATATTTATTTTCAAAGACAAGTCACAACATAATGTACATACTGATAAAATAAAAAAGACAACATTTTAAGCAGCTTCAAGTAAAAATAATTAATTTATAAAACTTAAAGCTTCTGCATTGTGTGGCTGAATTTTTCATTATTTCATAAACAAATATATCTAATTAGATAAGTATTGCTTGCCTGCCGCAAGCGCTCAGACATAGTGCACCAAAAAGTTAGCAAAAAGGGAAAAACAGACGTTAACGGAGTTAACTACTTGCTGCAACTCTTCCTTCTCCAACAGGCAACAACGAACAACGGTGAGTTCAGAAACTCATCGAGACAGAGTTACAGATAGAAAAGAGAGACAATGGCAGCTCTAAAAGCTTCACTTCCAATCCTATCGTTCTTCTTGTTGCTCTCACTATATTCCAACACTTTCATCCACACAGCTCTCGCCGATGGCGTCACTCCCGAGGAAGCTAAACAGCTCAGGGACGAGGTAATCCCCATCCAGTTCTGGCAATTATCGTTTCCAATCATCCTCTAAAGTTGAGTCCGATTAGGGTTTGGGTTCAATTTGGCAGTGCCATTGGGTTTTATATAGTATTAACTTTATTTTGTGATTGAAAAAGTTGCTGTGTTTGTATTGATTAAAGCAAATTGGGCCCCTTTGGTCTTCTAAACCCCATTTCAGAAAATCCCAAATTTTCAATTTTGCATAAGGCAGGGGATGTTTTCCTATTTTCGAATTAATCTGTTGACTGTTAAGCATTTTAGTACAAGTGTAATGTAGTTCACTTACCCAGTTGGGAGAAGTTTTAGCTTATTAGTAACTTTGAGTGAAAATTTGGATTTGAGGTGGTTTGGAAGGTCGACCATGGTTCTGTGAGAATGTATTTTCTGGATCTTAGGTTAAAATCTGGACTTCTCATTTTTGAAAATTTTCAGATTTTATTGATTTTTCTTATTATAGCCCTAAACTTTCTCTGCATTTTTACGTATTGTTGAACACAATCTCTAACTTCATACTGTCTTGTATTCTATTTGAATCAACAACACAGTAGAAGCCTTTGGTTCTTGGTTTCTGTATTTGATAGTCTACATGTTCAGTGTAGGTTGATTCCTACTTTTGGTGCTCGCTATATGCTGTTTCAAAGTATATTTAGCGAATTATTTCGGTTATATATTTTTTTCATTGCTTGTAAAATTTGTAAAGTTCACAAAATACTGCTTGTCAGGTATTGCAAGTTACAATGTGGTGTTATAACAATTCGGAGATATATATATATATATATATATAATATTTTCAAATGCAGGTTAGGGAAATGTTTTATCATGCATTTAATGGATATATGGAGCATGCTTTTCCACTTGATGAATTAAGGCCTCAGTCTTGTGGGGGTGAAGATTCGCTTGGTGGTTATGCCTTAACTTTGGTAATACAAATCACAAACTCTTTTTTGAAAATTTTTATACTGCAAGTATTTTTTTTTATTTTCTGTTTTAATGTTTGAAATATGTGTTTTTGTTAAGCTCTTATGTGATGTTTTTGCCATGTCATTGTCACAGATTGACTCCTTGGACACACTAGCTTTACTTGGTGATCGAGACCGCTTTGCTGCCTCTGTTGAATGGATTGGTAAAAACCTTCAGTTTGATATAGTGAGTAGTGTTTTTCATTCCTTTTTTTCTCTCTCTCTGAAGTGGTGTTTTAAACTCAAGATATTGCAAGTGGTGTTTTAGCTTATGTACACGGATTCATATTGAACTTCTTTAGCTTTTTTGCTTTTGTGGAAGATGTCTTATTAGTTTACTTGACAACAGGGCTTTTAGTTTGATGATCTGACTAGTTCAAATCAAGGTTATCCAAAAAGTCTGGTTCTTAAGACTGTTTTACATGATTTGAAATGTGATGATCGTTATTCACATTCGCATTGAACTTTTTTATTTTTAGGAATTAAGTTTTTTTATATTATGTTTTTGCTGTAGATATCTCACTATTTCACTCAACAATAGGGCTTTTAGTTTGATGAGCTTCCTAGTTCAAATCAAGGTTATCCAAAAAGTATGGTTCTTAATACCGAAATAGGCTGTGTTACATGATTTGAAATGTGACAATTATTGTTGACATGTTACGTGTCATGTAATAATGTAGCATGAATTGCAGTGGCAGAATGTTCCCATTCTAATATGATGTATTGTCAATATTGATTGTCATTCAAAATCTCCTATTTATATATCTGTCTTGTCCTGCTTATGGAATTCTGTTTCCTTAGGACCCTTATCTTATTGTTATCGTACATTCATTTGTTTTGCTACTATTGCACCGGTTTGCAATTAAATATTTCCTTAGCAATAATAGATGAAATTGTCAATCTAACTTTCGAATCTTTGAAAATGTTGCAGAATAAGACAGTATCTGTTTTTGAGACTACCATCCGTGTCCTTGGGGGTCTACTCTCCGCACATCTTATAGCCAGTGATTATGCTACGGTAGTAATTAGTTGCGTATCTCTATGTTTCAAACTTTCCCATCTTTAAAAAATCCATGAATTACCTTTTAATGCCATAAGCAAACATTGTACTGTGCCCTTTGGTTTGAGCTAGCACATATTGTGTTGCAACTTGCCAAACTATGTGATATATATGCATACCAATATAAGCAGAAGTAGGGTGTAAAAAAATGAAAGCTACCTGGTCAGAGTAAGGCTAATGAGTTATGAAAGGAATTGGTTTGCAGTTTTTGCTTTCCTTTGTTTTTTCTCTAATTTCCAGAAAAATTAACAATTCAGTGGTTATAAAGCAAATTTTCCAGGCAGAACAGAGTTGGAATTCTAACTACAAATAAGTTTTTGCTCATGTTTCCCATTTTAGGAATCTAGGTGCATTGATATGGATTTAAAATATCAATTTCTTGGACACTATACCTTAACACTCTCGATTATCTTTAACACTAGGTGAATGCTCTACCGCCTGCCCTATCATCATATATGGCATCCCTATAAGATCAGATATATTATTTTTGTTTGTTGATAGACTTATGACCTCACATTTGACCCTGGCTTAACTACGCTTCTGGGAAAAGAAAATACAAAAGATTAGAAGGATAACAAAGAAAAAAGAGGTGCCAATGGGTCCATAGCTCAGCGGTAAGAGCATTTGCCTGCAGATCAGTGGTCTCAGGTTCGAACCCCAATGACACCTCCCCCTCCCCCTTCCAAACTTTGACAAAAAAAAAGAAAAAAAGAGGTTGTTTAAGTTTGTACGAAAGGATACATAGCAATATCATGTATGTTTCTTTTACTATCAGAGTTTACTGGAAGCTATTTGGTTAAGTATTTATGTGGTAGGAGTGCAGTGTTATAGGATATAGATATTTAAAGGTCGTTGTTGAATTATTTGTACATCTTCTATTGCAGGGCATGAAAATTCCAACCTATAACAATGAGTTACTTAACTTAGCTGAGGATCTAGCCCGGAGGTTGTTGCCTGCATTTGACACTCCTTCAGGTATGCCTACTAGATTATCCCTTTCATTTAGTATACACAAGACTCTATGCAAGATGTTTCTGGCTGAACTTTCACTGTTTTGCATTCTTTCTCATTCCCAGTGTTTCAGAGGAAACTGGTGACATTTGTTGGTAGATACTGCAGGAATATGATTATGGATGTCTTTTGTTACCCTAGCCAAATAGTAATAGATAGGAACATGTTTATGTTTGAAGAACACCATGGAGTGATGGAAAGGCTTAAAAGGGCATAAATCCATATGGTTGTTATTGGCTCTAGTTTATTCTATTTTAATGACTGAATACTGGGTTTTTTGGAAACTTAACTTGATGGGAAGCTTACTGTAGCTAAACAAATCCTAAAAGCATTATGTAGAGATAGATCATGAATGTGAAACTTTTTGTTTCTAGTTGCTGAAGTGTAGGTATTTAATTACTGGCATTTCAAGTGTCCTTTTTAAGCTATCTTGTATAAGTATCCTTTATAAGGGGTCTTGCATTGCAGGAATTCCTTTCGGATCTGTCAATCTGATGCATGGAGTTGATGAACATGAAAGCAAGGCAAAGCTTCTGTACATTTTCTCTTTTCTGTGCAAGTTTATGTCTTATTCACTGTTTTTTACGCATATTGTAGGACAATTAATGAGTAGATCTGCTTTCTTTTTTTTTCCTCCGATAAGAAGTAAATTTTCTAGGGTCAGGATAAATTTTAAGTGAAGATGTAGAATCTTAACCACAATTGGTTATTTGTTAGTTTGGGCAAACTTTTTGTGATTTCAAATTTACTTGTTAGTCTAGATAACATCAACAGCCGGTGGTGGGACTTTGACTTTGGAGTTTGGAGTGCTCAGCCGATTGACAAAAGATCCCAGTAAGTAGTAGCTATCTTTCCTTCAAGCTAAAAGTATAATCCATCTAACTTGAGGGGATCTGACTTCTAAAGAAGTATGCTCTTGGACTTCACCAGTAGACAAAGATGCATTTTGTTGCAGCCTTTAATGGACAGAATTTATGCTGAAACATATAGATACATTATATTATATTTTACTTGCAATCTTATTTGGTATTGATGTTGTAACTGTGAGCTCTTTCCTCATAGTTCATCTTTTAGAGCAGATTCTTGAAGTAGGATGTTCTTTACCATCTTACCTTTCCCCTTCTTTTCCTCCCTTATCTGATTGGTTTTTTCCTTTTTGTCTTTTTGGTTTTGCGATTTCTTTCTTTTGCAGTTTTTGAACAAGTTACCATGAATGCAGTTCGTGGGCTTTGGGCTCGCCGTTCAAGGCTCAATTTAGTTGGTGCTCATATTAATGTTTTTACAGGTGAATGGACACAGAAGGTAACATTCCTTTAACATGATTACATTGAGAAACATACAACTCTGAGGAAGTAGATTTACTATCAAGATAAATAATAATATCCGCATAAATTTTATTTGCATGAATGGAATATTGAAAACTAAGCAGGAAAACCTACACGTGAATTGTGGGCTGTTTCTATTTTCCAGGGCTGAAACAAGCCTTTGAATTATCTGACTGGGTCTTGGATTTTTATTGCTTATTTTGAACATTAGGTAACAAATGAACGTCAAATATATTTTCTTCCTCTATTGTTAAGATTTTTGAAGATAAATATAATGTCTTAAGGTTTCTATTTGATTGGCGATGCTCTTTTCCCCTTCTTTCATTGCTGCTTTAGTTTTCAGGCATCACTTTTTTGGTCTTAGATGTGCAGGTTCTTCTGTAATCATTGGAAGATATGTTTTGCCAGTCAAATATAAAACTTTAGTTGATTTATCTGGAGTTTGAAAAGCTGAGTCTAATAATCATACTTGTTAATTCCTCTCTGGCTTGAGGATTTAGGTGTGAATAACTGTACTTTAAGAAAAGGAAGTTGGCATATTTTATAATAGTAGACGGCATCACCTTAGTATTTATAAACAACATGATTGTCCCTCTTCATTAGATTTTATTTGAATAATACTGATCAACCTTCTGTAATCAGCTATTGGTCTACTACCGAATAATTGATTTCTATGTAGGGCGTCCCCCTTAGTCCATTTTTCACACTGGACTGGACATCCTAACCCAATGCTTATAGTTCATCCATTACTATTAAGTGGACCAAATGGTTTGGTCATCGTGCTAAAATGGGATTGTAATCTTGCAAGGCTGGCACAGTCCCATTAAGCTACCTACCTTGTGCGCCAAATGCAGAACTGGGATTTAATCTTATCTTCCCCTCTAGTCCCACCTTCCAAAAGTCCTAGATGATAGGATAATTAGTAGGTGATTTTCTTCTCTCGTATGTTCTTTGTGTGGCATTAACTATACTTATGTTTCACTACTTGTTTGCAGGATGCTGGAATAGGAACTAGTATCGACTCTTTCTATGAGTATCTTCTAAAGGTTTGTAAGATCACTTGGAATGTTGAAACCTTCTTGTAGCTATGCAATTAGATTATTTGAAATGGAAGTATCAGGTTTTCAGGCGGTAGATCAAATAGTTGATATCTCTATGTCATGACTGATGAGAAAAACTCCTAGAAATTAAATCGGAAAGAAAGGATAAGTGGTGCTGAAAAGCTATGTGGGAGTGTTTTGTTGCTTTGCAGGGTTAACAGGGAGACATCGTATAAAATTATTGCCTAGATTTTTGGAAGATAGTGCATTCTTATTACAATAAACTAGTTTTATGGTCTTGTGACAATCAATTAGCCGGGAAGTTTAAGTGTTTGCTTAGTAATTTGGTGTGGCTCTTAGCTTTGGGACCTTTGCAATAATAAACATCAATTTAGAGATTGAGAACTCCTTATTTTTCATAACTATGTTAGCAGAGAAACCATAGTCCCAACTTTTGGAATTCTACATCTAATGGTTTTTATGCCTCTGTTGATTAGTGTCTTTCGCTTTCTTTATGGGGAATGAATATTTTATGATTTTTCTTTACTTTCAAGTTCTGCATATATGATATATTCATTTTCACTAACAAAAGGGAGTTGTGACAAATAGTGATTTTTTTTTTTTTTGTTCTTTCTATCTTTTTTCTTTACCATTTCAGGCTTATTTATTATTCGGAGATGAAGAGTATCTATTCATATTTCAAGAAGCGTATGCTGCTGCTATGCACTATCTTTACAATGATCCTTGGTAAATGCTACTAATTAGTAGATGATTCTTTGTAGTTATACATTCCCTTTTAACTTAAAAGAACTTCAATTGTACTTTTGTTTGGTAGGTACGTAGAGGTAAATATGGATTCTGCTGCTGTTGTCTGGCCATTATTTAACAGTTTACAGGCATTCTGGCCAGGACTTCAGGTTTGTAATATTTTTTGTCATAAGATATTAATATGTATACAGTTGATACTGGATAGTTGAAAATTTGTTCATTAGGTTTCAGTGAGATTGATTACCTATCTTTTGGAAGGTTTTAGCGGGAGATATTGATCCTGCAATTCGAACCCATACTGCCTTCTTTAGTGTGTGGAAAAGATATGGTTTCACTCCAGAGGGCTTTAATCTTGCTACGCTCAGTGTTCAGGTACCATAATCAACTTTTTCTGAACCCTAATACAATTTTTATTTACTCTTATTCAAATTGTTGGATTTTTTTTTACTGGGTGCATGCTGGTGTCTCATTTAATGGTTTTATGCGTCTAGTTACATCCAGTTTTTCATAAGTGAAAACTAAACTGCTGTGCAACTTTGGAGCATGCTAGATAAAATCTTTTACCTTAAGGTTATCATTAGAACTTGAGGTCTAGCTTTTATTCATGAATGGTTTGGTAAAAATTGCCATACTGCTCTTTCCATCCCACTGGCCAAACAGATGGTCAGACAGGTCTTAGTTTGAGGTGTGAACATTTTGTCTTAGTTAAACCTCTGTGTATGGAGTCATTCTGTGATGGTTCGAATAGTAAGGCAGTCCATGAAAACATCTAGGCCAATGCCCCTATTTAACAATTAATTAGCGTCTTTCTTTCTCTCTCTCTGTTTTTTTAAAAATAACTTTCCAAGAATAGATTTCCTAATCAATGGTTTTGTTTATAGTACTATAGATTTTAGATTTCACTTTATTATATCAATTGCATGTGTAATGTTTAAGTCTACATTTGTTTTTAGCATGGGCAAAGAAGTTATCCACTGCGTCCAGAGTTAATGGAGAGCACATATTGGCTCTACAAAGCCACTAGAGATCCCAAGTAAGCTCGGAAATACCTCTGATTTGTGGATTGCTTTTTAGTCTTTTGTTAACATGTGTAAGAGGGACACTTCTGTTACCAAAAAAAAATGTATACTTCAGAATAGGCATTTTAAAACCATGTCTTATGCATTTCTTTGTAGATATCTTGATGCTGGACGAGACATGGTTGCCAGCTTGCAGTACAGTGCACGATGCCCCTGTGGATTTTGTCATATATCAGACGTTGAGTTCCACAAGCAGGAAGATCATATGGAGAGCTTTTTCCTAGCAGAAACAGTAAAAATTTAGAACTCAAATATCTCATCTTCATATGGCTCTCAGTAGAGTAAGATTATTATGGAAAAATACATATGAAAATCTTAATTGAATTGTTTTGTTATTGCTATAAGACGAATTTGTAACAGTATAAAACTTATTAAGAATTTATGTTGGGAGTGGGACTGAGGATGGTGGGTCTCAATTTTTGCAAATATATCTCTGTGACAAGATGTTGTTGGGGATTAATTTCTTAACTCCTTTGTCTAACACATTCAATGCTTTCCTACGGGTTTGTCTTCTGTTCCATTTTTTCATTCATTTATTTTCTTTTCTTCTCTTCCATTACATGTTATTAACAACTTGTAACACAATTAGGTTAAATACTTGTGGCTTCTTTTTGATTTGGCTGTGGGACCAGATAACCTTGTTGAAAATGGGCCATACAAGTAAGTTCTGCACACCCCTATCGTTATGCTTTAGTGCCATAACTTATTTCCATAAAATAGCTAACTTATCTATTTTTTACACGTGTGGTGGAAATGTCTCCTTCTGCAGGTACATCTTTAGTACCGAAGGCCATTTATTGCCTGCAACCCCTGAAATATCTCTTGTGCAGGAACATTGTTCATATTTTGGGGCTTATTGTAACACCGGCAACATGCGAAATGAATCTCATGCATCAGATGTTGCAAGTAATCCTCAAGAAACTAATGATGGTAGCTTACATGGAAGAGTTCGCACTAGATTTCCTTCAGGCTCCACTTTTCCTGATTCAACCCCTATATCAGGATTGATAAAAGTGAGTATTGCATACTGGGCATTTCTCTAAAAGCATTATAAAGTTCGAAGTATTACATAAGTATAGCGGCTAGGTCTCCGTAAGTTTATGCATTATTAAAGTATCACTTTGAAGTCTTTTGAAAATTTCTTGTCTCTTTGCAGGGTGTTTGCCCAGGACTAACTCATGGGCAAAAGTTCGGTATATCATATGTGGCATCCAGCCACAGAGCTCATGAGGAGTCCAGGAACCAAAGAAAACCAACTGTTGCAGAGAGCCATTCACTGGTGGTTGTCCCAGGCCAAACTTCTGAGGATACACCTCAAAAACGATGATGGCATCTTTTTTATTAAATTGAACTTCTTTATAGTTGGTTGGAATTGCAGCCTCAGAATAATCATTTCAGCCCCCTCGGTGCTCGTCCTATATTCTTCTGCTAAAACATCATCAACAAAAAGAATGATTTTGGGAAGGGTCTGGCATGTCAAACTGATTGAAGCTGTTAATTGGAAGCCTTGGAACTGCTTGAGATTCTCAAATTCGGCCTTCATGTAAATTATGCGGCAATTGCTTACAGAATGAGCATGGAGCTTTAGGGTAGAAATATAAACACGAAGAATGAGGCTATGTCAGATATCTGCCTTGCTGGTTATACTGCTGCCCCTGAGACCCGAACACCGGCATTTCTTCACCTGTTAGGCTCATGTAACTTGGCATAGTAACTAAATTTATGTACATTTTTATTTTCTCTTTGGTAGGTCTCAAAAATTTGATTATATGTGAGGGTCATCTGCTTAGAGAAAACACAGTGCAACATGTGTAGGCAGCAGGAGCTGGACATTTTCACTCATGATACTCATGTGAGAGGACCCTGATTTAGAGAGATACCTTAGTTTCACATTATGTACTTAAATACAACACAGGCGAGAGAGGCTTAATCTAGCTGATCTTACTCTTACATACAGAGTTAGAGTTGATTCTTCGTGGGCTTGTGCCTATTTTGACGATTGGCGATTCAGATGTTTCAAACTTTTTGAAGGATTACAGTAGTTTTAATTCTCTATGTTTTTTAGTTTCCACATCTATTATTTGAATTGTGGTGCTAAGAAATGTGGTATAAGAGGCTTGTAGCTCAAGTGGTTACGAACAGTTATTCATGTATCCGAACACCAGTGGTTACGAGTAGTTATTCATGTATCTGATGTCATGTGTTCAGACCTTCTCTTCCCCAATCACATGTATAAAAAAAAAGAAGATATATATAGGAAGCACTTCCAAATGACTTCTTTTTATGGATAAAAAAAGGCAAGAAGAGAGAGGTTGTACCTCTTTTTGACCCAAACAACACCACTAAGGTTAATTGAATGATGTTGCCCCCTTTTTCTTTTTCTTTTTTGTTAAATTGTTCTTTTCATTTATAGAAAAGTTTGATTATTCCTACTTTGCAAAACAAGCTTGAACTTTGGGCCCACTCACCATGCCCAATTTCTTTTCTATCTCGCCGTCAATTTAAATACTTCCCGTGACCGTTAGAATTTCGTCCTTCCATTTGGCGCCATGAAATGAATCACTCGCTATTGAAAACTGTGAATAAATGCCAAACTCTCAGATCCTTGAAATCCATCCATGCCCATCTTCTAGTCACCAGCTCTGTCGTCTCGTCCAACCTTATCCTCAACAAGCTCCTCAGGTTGTACTCGCGCTTCGGAGCTATCAGTTATGCCCGCAAGCTTTTTGATGAAATTACTGAACCAAATTCCTTTCTTTGGACAGCCTTAATACATGGGCATGTTGAGAATCGTCGATATGAAGAAGCATTTTCTCTATTTACCCAAATGCATGGTGAGTGCATTGAACCTTTGAATTTTACTATTGCATCAGTGCTCAAGGCTTTAGCTCGGGAGGGTAGAGTTAAAGATGGGGAAACAATTTATGGGTTGGTCTTAAAATTTGGATTTGGTTCTGACTTGACTGTTCAAAATGCGGTACTTGACTTGTTCATGAGATGCGGTAAAGTTGATGTTGCTAGACGGATATTTGATCAGATGGATGAAAAAGATGTGGTTTCTTGGAACTCGATGATCTCCGGCTACGGAAGTAATGGCAGAGTTGATATTGCAAGGCAGCTGTTTGATTGGATGCCTGAGAGGAATACAGTTTCATGGACAAGCATGATTTGTGGATATGTTAAGTCTGGGGACATGGCGGAGGCAAGGGTCCTTTTCGAGCAACTGCAAACTAAAGACTTGGTGTCATGGAATGTGATGATTTCTGGGTACACCAATGCTAGTGATGTTGACAAAGCTCTCTGTTTATTCGAAGTGATGCCAATTCGTGATGTTGGGACTTGGAATCTGATGATTTCAGGGCTCTGCAAAGCAGGAGATATTAAACGTGCAGAAGATTTCTTCAACATGGTGCCAAATAAGAATGTTGCTTCATGGACCATAATGATGGATGGTTATATAAAATCTGGCAACGTTAATTGTGCGAGGAGCTTATTTGATCAGATGCCCGAGAAGAATTTGGTTTCTTGGTCTACCATAATTGGGGGTTATGCAAGAAATGGGGAGCCTCGCAGTGCTTTAAAGATGTATAAACACTTCAAGGAGGTAGGAGTTAGACCAGATGAGACTTTTATATTGGGAATCATATCGGCTTGCTCACAGTTAGGAATTCTAGGTACAGCTGAATCGATAGTTGGTGATTATGTTGGACAATCAACTCTGTCTAATCTACAAGTAGTGACAAGTTTGATAGACATGTATGCAAAATGTGGAAGCATTGAAAGAGCTACACAACTGTTTAAAATGACCCGTAAAAAAGATTTGCTTTGTTATAGCACCATGATTTCAGCCTTCGCTAATCATGGATTGGGTCAGGATGCCATTTCTTTGTTTGAGGAGATGAAAAAGGAAGGCATAAAACCTGATGGTGTAAGTTTTCTTTGCATTCTGAGTGCTTGTAATCATGCTGGTCTAGTCACAGAGGGCAGGAGGTACTTTAAACAAATGATAGTTGAATATAGAATTCATCCATCTGAGAAGCACTATGCATGTATTGTTGACCTTCTTGGTCGTGGCGGGCGGTTAAAAGAAGCTTACAACCTTATATGTAAGATGCCATTTGCAGCTCCTTCAGCTGTATGGGGTGCTTTACTTGCAGCCTGTAGGGTCCATCGCAATGTCCAACTGGCTGAAGTTTCCGCATCTGAATTATTCAAGATTGAGCCGGACAATTCTGGCAACTATATCTTGTTATCCAATATCTATGCTGCTGCAGGAAAATGGGATGGTGTTGCAAAAGTGAGAGCGCTGATTAGAGAGCACAGGGTTAGTAAAAATAGAGGCTCTAGCTGGATTGAGTTGGGAAGTGAAGTCCATGAGTTTGTTATGGGAGATAAGTCCCATTTTGATTCAGAATGGATATACCTTATATTGGATTTGCTTAAGGAAGATATGAGGTTCCTGGGATATTTAATGGACTTCGAAGAGAAAGAAGAATTGTCAACCTCTACATGGCATTCTGATACACTCTCTTACAATAATAAATTGGAAGATGGATGATGGAAATGATATGATATTGTGGGAGCAAATGTCGTCCCACTAGAATATTCGTCAAAGATTCCTTCATCTTCTCCACTTCTCTTTCTCCCTGCAAAACAGATCGGGGTAAAAGGATCACACCCGGGGGGTGTTGGCCAAAGGCCCTCCGATGCCTAAGTTAGGTAGGGTATTTCAAGGAAAACCGGGTGGCCGGAGCCGTGTGTGGCGGCCGGAGCCTTGTGTCAGAGAGAGAAAGAAAGTGGTGGCTAGGGTTTGTGAGAAATAATTTCTGCAGAGTTTCAGTAGTAATTTAGACGTACCTTGACATTTGTGCGTAGCCAAGTATTTATAATGGTCTTGGAGATTAGGGTTTTAGAGGAATTATTCCTCCCATATTTGGAATTGATTTGATTAATTAAGGATTTGATTTATTAGCGTAAATCAAATTCCTAATCGTGGTAGGTATCAGATCAAATTCTAATTTAATTAGGTAACTCCTCATTTAATTGGGAATTGGGGTAGGAATCAAATCAATTCCCAACTTAATTAGGTAATTCTCAATTTAATTGGGTAACTCCCAATTAAATTGAGTAACTCCCAATTAGGTTGAGTAATTCCCAATTAGGTCAAATAATCCCCAAATGGAAGAAATTATTTGACCTAGGGTATGATTTAATTCGGTTCCCACAGATATGATATACTGAAGAAAATGTGTGGATTTTCTGGCATGATATTTTCGAAGTCTTCTGATTTAAAGGTCCCCTATATGGCTTTTTGTTGGATGCTGTCCACCAGTGTCTCCATTTCCCTTCCTGTAAGGGGACACTTAACTACGATAATAATGCAAGGTTGTATATTCCTCTGAGATTTTTTTTTTTTTTTTTTTTTTTTTTTTTTTTTTTTTTTTTGGTTAATAAATAAGAAGTGGTTCTAAGAGTGTGTTGATTCATCATCAGAGCCACAGAATAGTATTAATCTCAGTTTTGAACTGTCAAAAATCACCAAGGACACCTTGTAAAGTCACAATTAATTTAATTCCTGGGCAAGAACCAATTTTGATTCCCAAGTTTTTAAATCAAGTCGAAAGGTTTTGTGACTTATCAAATTCGTATAATATGCCAATAACCAATTTTGTGATGGTAAGAAGAGTTTCCCGTCAGACTCAACCAAGTGAAGTCCATAAAGCCCAATCCTGAAGTGCAACTGAATGACTGAGAGAGAATCTATGGATGAGGACTCTTTCGCTTTGCCTTGCGGGCCAAACAAGCTGTATTAATTGCGAAAGGTTGCAGTTTCGGTTTTCATCTTGCTGGAGTAGCTCAAGATATCAGTAATACGAAGTTATGACCAAGGTATTCTCTATTGCTTTGCTTAACATGTTTATTTATATCTTCACCTTTGTTTCTCTTTCTTTTCTTTGTTGAGATTTTCAAATATTATTATTATTTTTTTTTTTTTTTTTTTTTTTTTTTTTTTTTTTTTTTATAAATTATCTGCAGAATAGGTTGTTATTTCTGTAGCTGGTTCTTTTAGAATATGCAACTCCAGTAGAATATGCTAAACCATTTTCTAATAAATTGCTGCAATTGGATCTAAGCATCAAACCAACATCTGAATTAGCTCATAATCACTAGAGTCAAGGCTTAAATCACCTTTAACATGTCAACTAAAAGACAAGAGTGAAATAGAAGATAATTTTGATGTTTAAAAGATAAACAAAGGGGGTTTCAAAACCCTGCATCAAAACTTCTGACAAGTTAGCAATAAAATGTTATAAAAGTGTAATTGAATGAAAAAGATCACATGGAATATGCAGCCATTTAGAATAAAAAAAGGAAAAGGGAAAGTTAAAAGCTTTGAAACATTATATCTAAAATATAAGTTGTAATGCTTCAATAAAGATGACCTTGTAATATAAACAAAGAATACACCGCAGTCAGATGCATCCCCTGCTAATGACCATGTAGTAATACAATATTAGTCAATACAATGTTTACGAAGTCCCAAAAATTTTCTCTTTTCCTGTTAAGATTTCCGGACAAAAGAAACAAAATTTAATCATTTTACTTAATCACCGACTTTACTGACATGTCTGGTAATTAGGGTAGATTTATAGACAGCCGTATCTTAAAAAGCCAGGAGAAAAGGAAAATCCATTTGCTGGGTTGAAAAAAGTGTTAAGAGTAGAAATATATATTAATGATTATTTTAGCTGAAGTCTTAACTCTTGAACTTGAAGAGACTTTACATGTTTTACTTTTACTTAGTCTCTCTACTCATTGATCCTAAAATCTTACTCAAAAATTTAGTTCTGGTGGAATTGGAAGAACCCTTGAATATTTTATTCCTACAATACAAATGACTCGAGGACCATGTGCAAAGAAAAACATCAAAGCTGAACTATCAACATCTTTGGATGACCAAATTGCAGTTGTGTGACTACATATATGACCATGATGTTTCCCATTTAATTGTTAAGAAAACTAATGGTATGGTGATATTTCTATGGCTGTCTATGCTTTGGATGAATTATCCACAGAAACAAAGAAATCTTTTGTGATTTTTGTTTGCCATCTTCAGATAGCAAAATAACCGAGAAGTTTTTGTTCCCATGTAGATTGCCCTATATAGCCTTCTACTATGCTTGATGTCCAGCAAGTGCTTGGTAGATAGAAATTTAATGGAGGCTGTAGTTTGTGAAGGAAGATGATTAATTGATAGGATTCGATGCATCGGTAACCAGTCAAATATTTCACTACCCCTGTCATGAACATCTGAATCTGTTACTATTGTAAAATGTTTGCATGTAGTTGGAAATTTGATCATGTTTAGGGAGTAGAGAGGCCCAAGATCTTTTAAGAGAGATTCACTAACATACCCAATAAAGGAGCCCAAATTATAAAAAAACCCTATATGAAATGGAATTTATAAACATACCCAAAGCCCATTTATAACATAACAAAAAGGCTTTTAACTTCTTTTAAATTACAAAATTGCTATTGATTTCTTAAAACTAACCCAACCCAAAATTTCATAAAAAATCTCAAAACACTCAATAGGGTATCAAAGTAATTTAATAATTAAAATTAAATTTAATAGTACCATTTGTCATTTTTTGAGTTTTTTTGGGTATGTTTATAAAAATGAAATGATGTAGGGTTTATTTATAGTTTTAGTGCTAAGAATGGGTATATTACTAAATATCTCATCTTTTAAACTATTCGGTAATGCTTTAATTCCTCGACTTGGGATTCATATTCAACTCAATCATGTTTAGGGAGTGGATATGAAATTGAACATTGAACATCCAAAGCTTTCTCAATTTTGATAACACCTTACACATTATCTTTTGCTCATAACGCTTAAATGTATTCCAGAAAGAAAGGGGTACAAAATCTGCATGCAATCTGAAAATTCTACACACATATTCAAATATGTATAACTTTATAATATATATATCCATATCAAATGGTATATTACTCAAAACCAAAACATGAAACATGTCACATCTTCCCTTTATACAATCTCTTTGGAACCAAAATCTCTCTCTGTATCCTCAATCCACAACAAATCTTGCTTCCAAACTTATGGAATGAATCTGTAATTACTTCCACTAGATATCTTCTGCTTCTGTCTACAATCCCAATCAACTCCAGAGAAGACCTGCCAGTAGTTAAGGAGACTAAGATCTGAATATCTTCTTCGATAACCCAAGCTGTGAGATTAATTTGCTCTCCATATCATGTGATATAGAGAGAGAGATATATAGAGATATCTCTTTTCTTCTCCCTGCTCTTATGGGTTGCCCTCTCTCCCTCATACACCACACCCCAAGCCTCTGGCTTCTGATCCTTTCATGATTCTGAGCTTCTTGCAGGATGACATGAACATTTCCCATGGAACATCTCCAACCAGCATCCAGTCACCATCTTTGTCCTCATAAGTAGGTGCATATTCTGAGCCTTTGTAGCCTTCCCTCTCCGAGTATTGGCCTGGAAAAAAATAAAAAATCAAGGTCATAATCAATTACTAATATTCTATTCTTCATCAAGAATTAACTTTACATCAAGCAACAAGAATAGATTAGATCTGATAGTAAATATTTTCTTACCTATAGTGAATTTGAACATGACTTCTAAGGCCTTTAGGAGTTCTGGGTAGCCTTTGTAAACCCTCAGATCAATTTTTCTGAGGTAAGGTGCTCCATCCATGCTTACTTTCACATAAATCCCAGAAATCTCAGCCTCAGTCTTATTTGCCTGAAGGCTGTTCTTCCTGTAAGATCTGATTGGTGGCCAGCCCACTATTTGTGCCCTGTCACACCAAAAACTCAAATTTATAAGCACAATATTTCAAATCTAGTTCATACCATTTCCAATGTTCTTAAATACTAGAAATTCATCTCAACAAGAAGATTAGTCCTAAAGAATAAGCCGACTTACTTTGCAGGGGGTGTTTCCTTATGAGCATCAGAGGTTCCCTTTGATGCATACTCTTCTTCACTTTTTGTATCAGGCAAAGCTCTCTTCTTGTTAAGAGCACTAGGCAGCTGCCCTACTGCTTGAACCTCATCACTTTCATCTCTCCCTGGCAACCCCAATCTCAGCTCTGTTGCCTTAAGGTTGAGATCATTCTCATGTGTCTTGCTTTCCATTTTTTCCAACAATCTTCAATGAAAACAGATGAGTAGTAAACCAACTTCTTGAACCTCAAAAACAAAACCCAATGATCTGCTCTAGCAAAACCAATAAACCCAATTGTAAACCAACTTCTTCTTTCTGGTTGAGGCAAGTTTTCTTCTTTCTTCTTTTGTTTGTTGCAGAGAAGTTTGAGAAATGTGTTTGGTTTGTGGGGAGGTGGGAATGCAAGGTTTGTATTGTATTTTATAGATATGATAAAGGAAGGCGTAGAGCTGTGAAAGGCCCTTTCTTTAATTGTTATTCTCTCTCTCTCTCCATTGCATGAATTATGGACAAAGGAAAGCTAAGCTGTCGGTAGCAATAGCAGCACCTTTGAGGCAATTTGCCCCTGCGTTTGGGGGACAAGAATGGGACAAGCTCAGCCACCCCTATGCAAGACTGTGGACTCAGAAGGACGGTCAAGATGCGTTTTGGGGGATTGTGGGGAAGCAATCGGGACCCTTGGTTTTAAGGGAGGGTTGGGGAGCATCTCCATGTGAAAAGGGACCACATGGATGTTTGGTATGAGCATTAGCATCACCATGTGAGACTAAACTTTGGCATTCCCTCTTTTACTTTTTTTCCTTTTTAATAAATAAATCAGGGAAGTTAAAAATCCTGACTCAACCACTCTTACCATAACTCATAACTAGTTCCTAAGTTTATGCAAACTTTATTTTCTTTAAATTTAACTCATTATATTCAATTTATTGTTTGTATTCTTTTGCTATAAACATAAAAGGGGGAATCGAATCTAAAACCTCGTGTGCAAGAGCAAATATGCTATCACTTCAACTACAAACCCTTGCCTAGTTTGTATAGAGCAATACAATTTTTCTTTCACCAGGAAGGCTTGCTGTTTATTGTCTGGTAACACCAAATTCCAAAACAGGTTTGACCCGATTGACGTGCAATTCAATCTTGATGTGTATATAATAAGCATTACAATTGTTTGACTGAATATTGCAGATAAGATGACTTAGTAAGAGAAAATAAAAATGACCCTTCATAGCCAAGCATATGAAATCCAAAACAAGAGTGGACTTTTTCTTGTTCTAAGTATCTAATCTATAACAAGAACTGTTGTGACTCAATAACATCAATTTAATTTGCTTTCAAAAGCGCAGACCTAGATCCATTGTAGGAGAAAATTATGGAGCTCTGATTATTATAACACAATTGTATAATCCTAAGTCTTAGTGCCATGGTTTATGGGGGATTAGGCATTAGCAAAGCAAGGTTATCTTTATTTAAATTATGTACTTTTAATATGGGGGATCAAAAGTAAAGGTTGGTCAATTAATTAAAAACTAATTCAAAGGGCTCAAAAACAATGAAACACTACCCTTTTTTTTCCTTATCAAGATGAAACACTGCAAGACGTTTGTAATTCAAGTGGTTAAGAGTATTGACTCCCTGCATTAATTTTAGATCCTAGGTTCGATTCTCCCTTCCCCAATATCGTTTGTATCGACAAAAACAAAACACTACCTTGCAATTGATCATGACCTTAATCGGGTGAGTCCCACCCTTTTCAATTGGACCATCTTCATGCTCATATAGTAGTGCTTGTTCAATGCATCTTAACCCTACTCGTATATTATTGCATTTTGGTCCATTCCTTCCCTGCCGCACTCGTGCGCGTTAAAAAGATGATCAATTATTGTCATGAATTAATGCTCTCTTCTCAAATCTCAACTTCTCATGTTCTTATCCACACATTATTAGCGAAACCAAAATATTAATCTCATCGTATGAACTATTTTATACCAATCTTGTCACTTTGGTTGAATGCCAAGCATTCAGTCGTTTGGAACCAAACTTGCTATCATTAGGATATGAGTAAGGAAAGAAACCTTTCTGGATATATGATCTAGAAAGCTTTGTTAACCTTTTTGAAGATTCTTTGAACTGGTTTCCTTGATTTTTTTATTATTTCTATAATAGTATGCTTCCAATGCCATATTTATAGAATTTTGTTACAAAATCAACTTACTAAACGACACAATGAATTCAAATTAATTATCTATTTATATTTTCTATGATATTATTATGCCACATATATATGGCCAAAAAACTTAGTCCTTTTTAGGCCTCCAACTAATTATCTCTTTCAATATTGAATTTCAAATGATTTTTTTTTTTTAAAAATAGAGGGTTGGTTTGGTAATCTCAAATGCTAAATATAAATATTGAAATGACATAATTTTCGCCGTAAGTATCTAACACAAAAAAAATGATTAAATATACACACACACACACACACATATATATATATAGTTGCAGGTTATAGTACAAAATATTGTTATTTTCCAGTCTGAAACTTCGAAGCATTCCTATCAAGGAACAGGATGAGCATTGTACGAACGTTAAGCAATTTCACGCTGCTGGCCTTGTCGGGAATTTTGTCATTATTGCTTTATCAATGAGCAGATAGCAACGCATATATTCATGCTGAAATCCACAAAGTTAGCTGAAATTTGTGGCATGCAAGCCACGAACAGAATTCAGTGATTCAGATATATCAGTAGCCAAGCTGCTTGCACTTGTGGTGCCTGAACTATAAACTTGGCCGCTTGCTGATCAAGCAAGCCAAGAAACTCAACAAGTTAAGAAAGAAAACGATGCACAACTACTACTTAATAATCAAATTTAATTTCATTAGGTCTAAATTTTCAGCTTTTGATCGGACCGCTTGAAATCCAGGTTGGACATGATATGACTCATCAGAAAATTTCATGCATGAGAGAGAGAGAGAGAGAGAGAGAGAGAGAGAGAGAGAGAGAGAGATTTCCAGGTCGACAATCTTTGACCAAGTATAGGGTTGCATATGGACTATGGATTTGCATTCGTGGAGCACAAAGATTGTAATTAATGTTTGGAATCCAAGAAAATTGAGACGTGTGTGGTGATGGCTCTGCATGAGATTTGGATATGAAGCATTGATATATATGTTCCTCCTTCCTGCCTGCTATGTTTTATTGACTTGATAAATATCAAAACCTAACTGTATATATCCTTATTTTGAGCTGTAATTGCTCCAGTCCAGCCCAAGATATATCAGCCCTCAAGTTGCCTGAGGGAAAAATTACATTTCAAGTGCTTACTAATTGGTTGAGTTTAGCCAAACAAAAATGCTTTAGAACCCAACTTTTTTTCTTTCTTACTCCAAATATCTTATATGAGATGAAAAATACGCGTAGGAAAAAAATTGGTTCTATAGCATCTTCCTCAACTAACAAAGTTAATTATGAAACCTAACCGGATGTTGACATGTGGGGTTTTTTACGATAGTATGATCATGTAGTATAACTTGTCTACGTGTTATAATAAAAGTGAATATTTATTGATATTATTTCTTAAAATGGGGAAATATCAATCTTGTTGTTCATTCATATTATAACACGTGTATAAAGCTATACCATGTGGCCGTATTAAGGTACCACATTCTATAATTTCTAGTTGTCCTGTGGGTATGTTGCCAACTAATGCCATGCATGCAAATATCCTTTTGGGACTGAGATTCAAATTACCTGTTACATTTCAGCACCCAAAAAGAAAACTAAAAGCAAACTTGACAACTCTGATTATGGCGTGGTGGCTACCAAAAGAGACACTGAGGCCCAATACAGGATGTCAAAGCAGGTTGGAATATATTCTTGAATGAAAATTAGCAAGTCGGTGCATATATATATGTGACACACAGAGATATATGATATATCTGAGATATATATATATATAGCTTTAATTTTGCAGCTATTCTTCTTAGGACCCTTCTTGTTCGCTAATCATACTCCAAATGAGAAACAAAATCATACAACTCAGAATTAAAAATGGTGTACATAAACCGATATTAAGCATCTGGGTCAGTTTATTATAATTAAAATAATATCTTTGGGGTACCCCAAACCGAGTGGAGAGGAGAGAGCTTTAAGAATAATAAGGTTGACTGTTCTGTTTCATTGCTGTAAGGTACCTCATGGGCCTAGACAAAACGACAAAGCACAAGTAAAGTTTGTGGCAGTGGTCCCCCCAAGAGGAACCCTAAAACCCAGGAGGAGTTGAGGAGCACTAGACAAAATTTGGGAAGGGTTCAAGGGTGGGGGGTGGGAAGGGAGAGGGAGGGTCACTGCCTCACTGGCTCACCTTTGTGAATAAATCCGTGGGCATCGTCTGATTAACTCTAGTTCCATACTGTATATATATGTGTCAGACGGTACCATCATTTCAATCTTCGGACCACCAATATTGCACTTGGGTCAGGTTGGGTCCATCAATTTTTTCCACATTGTGCTCCTAAGTCGGATAATATTATGTACATCTTCAATTAATATGAACCGACCCATATGTGGTCATCAGCAAAAACCCAATCCAAATCCTACCCTACTCACCCACTCCACTCCACTCCACTACTGTCTCTGTTGCATCTATTTAATCTATCGAGTGACTTATTACTCAAATCGTTAAGGAAAATTATCACTACACTCGAAGTCTAGTATTCGAATTCCCTTCTCCATTATCACTTGTATATATTTACTTGAACATAGTATCTAGTTTAGACTAACAAAACTGGCACCAAGAAAATTTGTTCGAATCCCTCTGTTCATCACAGTTTCCAATTTTTGGATTTAAATTTTACTATAGCATACTTAGTTAATTCTAGTGTGAGATGGGAGTGTAGTCCCAACACCCAACAAGGCGATCAATTTTATTTTCTTGTAATTATATATTGGGTATGCTTGTTGTAGAGTCTTGTTCACTTCAAATTCCAAGATATATAGTTGAATAATGTAGCATGTACACTCATATATAGTGTGGGGTGCATTGCGCAAAAATATGTACAAATACATGCATATTACTTCACACAAAACTATGCAGATATGGATCTTTATATCAATATAGAGCATAATTTGTTAACTTATTGCTATATATCATGAAGTAGTAATTACAACTCCAACAAATAATAAGTGAGGTA